CATGGGAGGGTTACGAGGGAGCAGTGCCAGCCTTCAGGGTCCCGGCCAGGGTCCCCACCCTCCTGGGAAGCAGACAGCAGACATGCAGGCGAGGCACCCCGGAGACACGTGGCCCTCGGAGCCGGCGGAGCACAGCAGGCGTTGGGGCCGCCCCTGCCCAGGGTGCCCTCCCTGCTGCCCTGGCCGGTGGCCTGTAATCTTATTACAAGTGGAACTGCTCGGTGAGGCTGAGTGTTTTCAGAGGTAGAAGGTGACCTGGGAGGGCCTGGGCCAGCCCCTGCACGCTGCCACGGACGCTCCCAGCCCGCCCTCCCGCGGAAGGAGGCGGGACAGGGCAGTGGGCCGGGCAGGGGCGCAGACCTGGTCTCGGGCCGCGGTCAGCGCCTGGATCAGGTCCTCGGACCTCTGGTACTGCTCCCGCTCCAGCCCCTCGCAGCGGCGCTGCCAGTCCAGCTCCAGCTGCACCTTGTCCCGCTCCAGGCTCTGCTCCCTCTCGGCTGCCAGCAACAGCTGCTGTTTGTACCTAAGGGTGGGAAGCCGCCGAACGTCAAGTGTCCCGAGGTCCCCATGTGCGTGATGGCAGGGCTGCACCCACCGGAGGAGCACCTGTGCGCAGCTCAGGTCCCAAGGGGAGCAGGGAAAACCCAGCGCCGGGAGAAGGGCTCAAGCTTGAGAAAGAGAAGGGCACCTAGCAAGGGGAGGGGAGGAGAATGACAACGAACCCGGACAAGCAGAAAACGGCTCCGTGGGAGAAACAAGATTCTCCTGCCGGCTGGGCCGTGGGGGCCATGTGGCCAGGACGAGCGGCTGACAGCCAGCAAGGCGACGGAGACCACGCCCCCCAGCCCTGGAATGGACTGGACTTACACCGACCCTGGCCATGGGCCTCGCAGGGGAGCCCGAGCCCTGGGAGAGAGGCAGCCCCGTGACCCTCCCCGCCGACCACGGAGAGCCGGGAGGGGGCGGGCATTGAGGGCAGCCGCTCCACTGGTGGCCCTCGGTCACAGGGCAACAGTCACACAGCTCTCGGGGGATTTAAAACCCGGAGGGAAAAGGGTTTAGAATCTAGTGTCCTGACCCAGTGAAATGAGACTCACACAGCAAGGCAAAAATAAAGACATTTTAAAACACAAAGGCTCAAAGCTAGACAGAGCCCTCCAGAGAGGCAGTTACCAGAGGACACAGTAGAGCAGAACGTGTCACACTGTGGGGAAGGGCCAGGTCCTGAGTTCTGAACCCAGGCCACTGAGGACCAGAGCTTCAGCCAGCCCACCCAGAGCGGAGGCTGCGGGGGCCCCAAGGGAGGGGACGCCATTCGTGGACTCTGCACCAGTGTCTGAAACAGGGCCTCACTCCCACGAGCAGGAAGTACTTAATAGAAGCTACTCTCCCAGACAAATCACGTTGGTCACTGTTGGCTTTGCAAGGGAGAAAACCTCTGTCACAGACACGCGGGCTTGTCCAGAGACCGGCCGGGCAGGTCCAGGCTCCAGGGCCCCCTCCCAGTTCCGGTCCAGGCCCTCGTGTGCTGTGGGTTCACCAACCACAAGTGCTGGCCTTGTCCACGCCGTGCAGGGTGCCCTGCGCCCTCCCCAGGCTGAGAGGGAAGGACGCAGGCCTAGGGGCCCCGATTGAGGCCAGCATTCAAAGCCGGGCCAGGAGTGGGGAGAGACCTGAGTGCAACAGAGAGTAACAGAGCAGACAAAGACCCACCGGGATCACAGGCAGCGTAGGTGTGAGGTGTGAGCAAGCCTCTGGAGTAGCACTGGGCTGTCAGAGCACCTGCCACCAGCCCCGCCTCTCACAGGGACATCCAGGACTCAGATGAAGACCCCGAACGGCTCCAGTTACCAGGCGGCAGGCAGGGTAGGCCCGGGGCCCCTAGAGACAGACCTCCGGGGATGAGTCCCACACGGGGGTGGGGGGCGTGCAGGCCCCAGTGCTGCGTAGCGGCCTGGCTGTGTTTAGAGCTGGGAGGATGAAACAGCTCTGGGACTTCCCGAGGCAGAGGAGGGAGCTCCCGAATCTGCTTGGGGCCCCCCTGAAACTCAGCGGACACGTGCTGTAGGCCTGTGGGGCTGAGAAAGGCTGGGCGTGCGGGTCCTGGGGGTCAGCAGGGGATGACCAGGGCGCCCGGGGAGACCCCGGGCCAACGCGGCAGCAACAGGGCTAAACTGGCCTGGTGAGGAGAAGGCCCTGGAGCCTCCCTAACAGAGACTTCACACCTCAAAGGACGCCTCTGCTCAGCAGGTACAGCTGACCAGTTAGCTAATCACAGCCGAGCAGCAGGTGCCTGTGAGAGGAGGAGGACCAGGTCTGGGGCCGGTGGTCACGTGCTGGACCCCCGGACACTTGCGAGACGTGGCCTCTGGCCGCGGGGACAGACCTGGAACGGAGGGACTCTGTACAGCAGTGACTGCAGACAGACGTGCCGGGAGAGCACAGGCCGCCGCACAGGGAGGAGAGACGGAAGCCCTGCCCACCTGGCAGAGGGGACTCGGGGAGACAGCCCAGCTGGGTGCCAGCAACCCGGGGTGCGCGAGCCGGGGTGGGGGGCAGATGAGCACGTCCGCCCCTGCCCCAGACGCTGGACAGCCGGCTGACCGCACACCAGCGACACAGAGAAACCCGTGGGCCTGGAGGAAGGAGGACCGTGGCACACGGGGGAACGGGAAACGCACAAGAGAAACAGGGCCGGGACGCAGACCCACCTCCAGGGCTGGAGGGGAAGCAGCAGCCTGGGCGCTCCCGCTGGCGGGGCGGCTTCAGAGCGACAGGGCAGCAGAGCCCGCGAACGCCGCCGCGGAGCCATCCGGGCTGCAGAGCTGGGCGCCCAGTGGAGACCTGGGCTTGATTTTCCCTTTTAACTTTTTAATGAAGAACAATAGAAATAAATGTTGGGGAAAATACAAGGCTCTTATTCTTATTTTTAAGGTGATTTTTAATTGAAGCATTGGCGATTTGCAGTGTTACTGGTACACAGCATGGCGGTGCAGTTTTACACACACACACACACACACACACACACACACACACACGGATTCTTCTCCCTGTTCTTCTTCATCATAGGCTATTATAAGACATTGAATGTAGTTCCGTGTGTGACACAGCAGAACCTTCTTGTTTATTTAAAAAATTTTAAAGGACAGTTGTTTGACCAAAGTGGAAATAACAGTGACCTGTGACTACAGGTGCAGTTTCCACACAGGCGGCAGCAGGGAGAGGCCAGAAGCGCGAGGAAACAGGCAGCATGACTTAGAGCTAGGCCGTGCGCCCTGCACTCAGGGCAGTCACCAAATAAAGAGGTTTATAGAAGACAAGGCGGGAAGAAGATGGACTCCTAGAAATACTCAGCTGACTTTTTAGAAGGCAGAAAAAGCAAGACACAAAAACCTCGAGGAAAACAGCAAACAAACAGCACACTGGATATTTAAACCCAGACGTAGCAGGAACAGCATCAGATTATCTCAACGCTCCAGTGAACAGGCAGCAACGTCACAGGAGCTCACAGAGCAAGGCCCCCAGAGCAGGAGCAGGCAGGGAAAGGGGGAAACTCACCACGAAGCCCCGGCGAGCGCACGGGAGACCAGGACCCCAAGGACCGAGGTGTGGGCCCACGCGTGGGGTGCTGCTGCTTACAATGAGCAGTCATCCGACAGGAGGCTACAGCGATCCTTAATGCAGAAGCGCCTTTTAAAAGACCTCCCGACATGTGAAGTCACATCCATTAGAACTGAAAGCCACAACCAGCCTCCACAGGTGCAGACTTCAGCTTCCCAAGTAGCAGGCAGACGAGCCCACAGGAGGACACGGGTGGCGAGAACACGCCAGCCTGGCCCCATGCCCTTTCCAGCCCTGGAACTGACAGGAGCACATCCTTCAGGTCCTCCTCAGTCACCGAGACAGGACACATTCCAAAGCTACACAGACCGTGTTCGCTGTCACAACAGAATCAGACCAGGCGGCAACAAAGTGGCATCTGGGCATCTCTCAACAATGGGAAGTTAAGCACCATGTGTCTAAATCCACAGACCAGAGGAGTCACAGGGAAATTAGGAAACATTTTTAACTGAGTAATATCAAGATTTGTGGGATGTGGCTAAGCAGCGCTTGAAAGGAAATACTTGTATTTCTCAGAAAAGAGGAACGGTCCAAAATTAATCATCTGAGATTCCAGCGTTAGAAGCTGCCGAAACGACATCAGATCAGCACCAGAGGAAACAGACGAAAGGCAACACCAAGCGTGAGAGCAGGTGGCAGTGAAACTGAAGGCAGAGAAGCAACCAGGAAAACTCAGAGGAACCAAATGCTGGCTCTTCGGGAAGATGTGTAAAACCGGCAGGTCTCTAGTTAGACTGACGGAGAAAGAAAGCACACACAAATCACCAACATCAAGAGGGAGAGAGGACACTGCTACAGACGCACACACCGGAGAGAGAGGACAAAGAAATACCACAGCGATTTTACGCCAAGAAAGTCAACAGTCAGGTAAAATGGACAAACTCATCGAAAGACACAAATTACCAAAGGTGACAGGGAAAAAAAAGGAACACAGAAAACCTGACACAAATATTCAAGTAAACATCCAGAGAAGCCAGACACGAGAGCGTGTCGAGCGCCGGGCCCCAGGCGGGTCGAAGCCCAGATCAGGAGGCGCCAGCGACAGGGCAGGCTGGCGGAGGCGTGAGGGGCTTTGGCGTCGCAAGGGTTCTGCGCCCCAACGGCGTTGCGGTTAGACTGCCGACCGGCGCACCCGTTTGTCAACATTCAGCAAGTGCACAGTGTCAGCGAGGACGCTGGCTGTACTTCAGTGATCCTCAAGGAAGACAGCAGAGCATTCTCTTCACTCAAGAGTTCGTTCCAACGGACAGGAAAAGACACTGAGACGTCGACAATCAGACGAAAGGCCTCAGGGGTGATTCCTGACCCGGACTGAATGGCACACTGGCTCTCACGGCCGTGGTGCAGACGGAGGACCCTGCTCCGGGGGAGAGGCCTCCCGCCCCCACCACCTGGTACCTTCCGATGTCCTGCTGGCATCTGGCCACCTGTGCCTTCAGCTTCATCTCCTCTTCCCGGAGTGACTGGACCTGAAGGTCTTTGGAGGTCATCTCCTTGGACAGCTGGGCGATCTGGGCGTCCCAGCCGGATCTGAGAGCTGCTGCATCTTCCCGAAGTCTAAGCAAAGAAGGGGCGCCCCGTGAACGCGGCTGTGGTTCTCCCCCACTCCCTCCTCCACAACACACGTGTGCGCAGCCCTCCAAGGAGAAGCCGGAGCCCAGTGTCGCTGCCATGCTCGTGTCCCCACCTCAGGGCAGAGGCTTCCTGCTCAGACTAGAAAATCCCCTAAGAAGAAACACCCACCCGCCCACCTCACTGGCCCGGG